TCAAAAGCTAGCATAATTTGGACTGATCTTTTCTTTGCAAACAATGAACACTGGAAGACTGTATATACTGGGCACTCTAGCAGTCACCAAGAAAGAGTATTTTAACTGCAAAAGCTAGCAACAGACATCTAAGTTCTTATAAAGGTGGATGTGTACCATTTTCTTTAGAGTTTTGAAAATGTTGAATATAAATAGAAAAGGCTAATTACATTACTCTCATTATACTATACCGAGCATTGCAGGCTTCTTCCAATCCACCTTCCTACTCCTAACAACTTTTTTAGAAGTAAGTTTTAAAAGAAAATATTTGAACATTGATGATTATGTGCTTTAAAAACTTCACATAGCCATTTTTTTAAAAGACAAGCATTAGAGCTATTGCATTATGTCATGCTGCTTTGCATAAAAACTGCATCTGTGTTTACGGGCTAACCGCTGAAGGCAGAGTTTTCCTGGCTATCAGACTGCCAGGTGCACAACTGCACAGGGAACCAGTTTCAGGCAACTACAGAAGAGATTCAGTGGGTGGGTACAGCAGCCCCAGGCAGAATATACTACTGAGGTATTATGTTTATACACATCGCATAGAGATGAAAGCACTGCACAGAGAAATTATGGGCATGTAAGAGAATATACTGGCCTACCACTGAAACTGAAATTACAGACATGTTTTACTATTGATGTGAGCACTCAGGAGTAGGGCAAGTTCCCATAGCTCACAGACAGTAATCACTATTGTACAGTATTAGAACAAAACCATTCTGATCCCTAGCACTTTCCAGCAATAATTAAGAAAGAATATTCAGCAGTCTACCCTCTTGAAATTCAAAAGCAATTAGTAGATAGCACTATTACCAGTGCTTATTGCACAAACAAGAAAAGGAAAAAAATCTGAACCTCACAGTTAATTTTCTATTTAGCTCTCTTTATCTATTTGTTCTTTAATGGCTTTGATATTCTTCATAAAGTGATTTCATTAGCAATGTATCTGCATGATGAAACCTGTATTTCCTTCTCAGGAAATCAGCCCCAAATCTCTATTTACACTTATGCTTTCTAGAACTCTTGTAAGGTCTACAAACAGCCTGAGAAAACTACTTCTTCCATGTTAATGCTCTTTTGCGCTGTCAAGAAATTGTTAGTCTACAAACAGCCTGAGAAAACTACTTCTTCCATGTTAATGCTCTTTTGCGCTGTCAAGAAATTGTTAGTATTAATAAATATTGGCACAACTCAATAGTGTTGTCTGTAACTTTCTCCTTGCATTTCTGTATGTGTGATTACATGTTTACTGCTGTGAATGCTGCATTAGCAGGAAACACCTGAAAATGCTTACTTTTCACAAATAAAAAAGGGGGTAGGGGAATGAGGAGGAATATGGCTATAGGTTAAAGAAGAATGAGAACTGGGTTATACTTAATGGTATAATGGATAGCTATTCTATGAGGTGGTAATTTAATGAACAGATTTTGTGCGTATCTGTAAGTTAAATTAGTTTGGGGGGGGGGGGAAGTGTATGGTCTAGAGGGAGGTAGTTTAAAAGGCCCTTTCTGTTCCTTGATAATGACAGGGCCCATTGTTAGGTGGACAATTTATTTTGCTCTTTCAAACTTTTTGGGGGAGGTTTTCTTTCTTTGGTGTAGTTTTAATTTTTCTATTGTGGGGTGGGTTTGGTTTTTTTTTTTCTCAACTTTATTATTTCAGTTCTGCTCAAGTGAGCTGAGGTGGCTGTATGTACCCAAGTATGCATGGGGTTGCACAGTTTGGGTAAGTAGTGAACTAGCTGATGGAAAGCTTTCTAGCTGTATCTTTATGCTTCTAGATTACACAAGGAAAGAGAATGAAGGTCATCAGGTGACAATTTCTGTGGTATATGAGTAATCCACTCTTCTACAGCAACTGCTAGAAGGGGATAAAAAGGTAGTCCAGAGCCTTCACTGAAGCTTTTACTGGGGGAGTCCTCTGGATTTGAGAATGCCATACTGACCACTTCTTGAGGACAAAAATAAAAATTTTAACTTTTAGCTATAAAGGATTTCTGATTCACTGTTTACATAAGCATTCACTGAGCTTCCACAGTAAAAGCGATTTAGGAGAGATATGTAATAAATAGTAACAGTTACTATTGCAACGCTGGCTGCAAAAGCTGAAGCTGAAAGCTATTCTTCTGTTTAAAGACCCTTATTGCTACTTTTTTCATGTCATTTACTAAATAAACTCAATCTAAGGTACAACATAAATACTGTGTGAAAGAACAAGCTAGTGCTAGTATAATGATGCAGAGAAAGGGTGAAATAAAGCTAAAAGTGATCCACTAAGAGCACCAGCAATTACAGGAAGGTATAAAAATATCCCCATTATGTTGTAAAATCATATCTGTATGTAGCTACCCATTAAAACTGAATAGTCACCTTTCCAACTGATGCCTTGTTATACACTCTTTTCTGTCTCAGAACTGGCCTGGGACTCAAGTAGCTGATGCTCATGTGTGCTTACCATGGGGAGTGACTGCTCCAGTTTCTTCCATATTATTAGTTTTTGTGTAGCACGGCTCCCAGGCTGTCTCAACAAGCATGTCTGTTCTTGCATTTCTAAAAGTGAGACTAGGCTAGGAAATCACCCTTGTATACATACCTTTCAAAACTGATAATCTTTACTGACCTGTTAAATCTAATAGTGTCCTTACTGTAACAGCAAATCATTACAAATTCAGTGAACTAATTCTTATCTCTAAGACTACAGGATAATTCTGTATTCTTGTTTACACTTCTTTAATTAAGGTAGGAATTACTATTCTAGGAGCTTCTCTAAATGAGAACTACACTTACATAAATTCAGGTGTTAGAAGAACACGTGTAGTCATTTCTACCCTGAAAGCAAAGCAGCTTCTCTAGATTTAGTCAATGTCACTTCAGTTTCATTTACACTAAAGTAAGTTTTCATATGAGATTAAATACCCATCTGAAACTAATTGTATAACTTACTAGTGTAATTACAAACTTTATTCTTTAGATAAAGTCCTCAAGAAGAACTTTGAAAAGTGATTCCTCATATTGAGACAGCTAACTTCTGCTATTCTATTGCTTGGATGCAAGTGTTTATCAGGCAAGTACAAAATATCCAGTAACTTCACACTGAACTCCAATGGTCAAAGTGTATAATACGTTATTTCGTATTATGTAACCAATGCATGAAGCTTCTGGACTCCAATCTAACTGCTGAAGCAGTGATAGCATAAAGCAAGATGAGGCTAAAAGCAAGTTAGTGGTAAGTGAATAATGTCATGCAGCTATTTTGCTGCAGTTTGCAACAAGAAGCACTTATCAGCTGTATGATAAGCTACAGAAACCAATTCTCTGTTACTTCTGAGAAATTTCCAAATAGAATACAGCAAATACTTTTTAAACATGCTACACCACTCAGCTACATGACAAAATAGTATCCCTTTGTTACAGCATGCGAGGGGTGGGGGGAATCCAGAGCCTATTTTTATTTCAGCATGTCCTAGGTTTACCCTCAGGGTTTTGTGCATGTATACATGTGGTTAACATAAACTTATTTTACCGTTGTTTCTCTCTAATAGTATAAAGACAACTTTTATCAGCCACAAGGACCTAGCTTCCAGTTAGATCTCTAGGAGTGAAAATAATCCTAGGAACACAGTTCTACCCTGTGTTTGGACACGTACTGGTTTTGATGAATGATGCTGATAACAAGTAGGCATTTATATAATCTAATATAAAGGTACATGTGGCAACAACCAGGGTTTCTAGGTACTTTTAGGGACTCCAATAAACCAAGGAACCTTGGACAAGACTTCTACAAGGAATGCAAATCCTCAACATTGGTTTTGCATGTCAGCTGAAGAAACAGTAACCTTTTGTATAACTGATACACATTCCCAGACTCAAATTCTTGCAAGTGTGAACCCCTATATAAATGCAAATAAAAGAAAGCTGTAGTTACTGGCCAAGAATAAATGCAATCACATTAACTTTCTGTGTTTCCTTCTCCCGTGTTTGTACTGTACAACACTGGTAGACCTCTGAAATTCGATTCACATGTGCAGCCCTTTTTATAAAACCACTACTTTCATCTTGCATAGCATACCTTAATTCTGGAATAAGTAATTGCTATGCATACTGTGAAGTACGCTTTGAACTCCTTCTAGAATAGGGATACTGAACAGCAACAGTGTCAAAAGGGCCCAGGTACTACTGGTCAGGAGTACTCATTCCTAGCACTGCATCGGCCTGAAGCCTGGATGCGGCCGCCTGTTGCCTCAGGTACCTGGTGGATGGATGAGAGGTGAACTGAGCTCCTTCTGAACAAGGGTAAAATAGTAGCTTCTCCAAAACCCTTCCCGACTTTGCTAGTCAACAAAACAAAGGTAAAAAAAGCAGCAGCACACAACTCCAGTACTGAAGCAAACAAACAGATCCACCACAACAGAAACAGTTTAGTCGTGGATAACAGCAGACTTCGTGACATCTCGCTCTGGAGCAAGAGAGCAGCACACAATACCAATCTCCCCCTCCACAATAGTATGTTGAGCTCCCTCCCCGAGCTCCCACCCGCTCGTTCCCAGGTGAGGTGGCTGAGGTGAATCGCTGTGACTCTACCCCTGAGGAGGGAAAGGCCCCGCTGGTCGCTGGGGTGCGCGTTTCCTGCTCCCCACAACAGCCGCCATGCTGCACCCAACCCATACCGCGCCAGACGACGGACCACTCAGCGCATGCGCCAAGGGGGAGCGCCGCTGAGGGGCGGAGACACAGCCCACCGGAGGATCGCACCACTGCGCGGCGCGGGGGTGCATGAGGAGAGAATTTCCTCCAAGAATTCGGTTATGAAGACTTCCCGCTGGCTTCTTCCCTGACTGCGTGTCTGACTAAGACACGAGGGGAGGGACAAGCAGGCGAAAGCCCGCGCTCCCTCGCACGTGTTTTCTCCGCCTCCTTCTTCTACTTTCCTCCCCCGTCGGCGGCGGCTTGGGCGCGCCCCGCTTGCTTCCCCCCTCCCGCTGCCGATGGTCGGGCTCGCTTGCGCTGCCCGCGGCCCGGCGTCGCGAGTTCCCGCTCTCCCGCGTCCGCCTTCTCCCGCCCCCACTCCGTGCCGGCTCGGCGCTCGCCTCGGCCTCCCGCTCCCTCCCCCCGGCCCGGCTCAGCAGCCCTATGGCGTACAGTCAGGGCGGCGGCAAGAAGAAAGTCTGCTACTACTATGACGGTGAGAGGGGCCGGCACGGGAGCGCGTGTATGCGTGAGGATAAGGGAAGCCTCTCCAACGGCTGTCTGGGGTGGGCTGTCTGCCCCCGTACCCCGCCATTGCGGGCGCCCCTTCTCCCCCCGGAGCAAGCCCTCCCTCCCGGCTCCATGGCGGCTTTGGCCGGGGGTCTCTGCCGCTTCCACCTGCGCCGCCGCGCCCCGCTCCCGCCATCGGCCCTGCGCACTCGGGCCCGCTGCGGGGCTGAGTCCCGGGGGCCTCCGGGCGAGGGGGAAGGGGCGGTGAGGAGTGTTGGGGGCGGGGGTGGGAGCCGGCGAGGTGCGAATTGTGGGGCTGCCTGTTCTGCCGCGGAGCCGTTGCCTAGCCCAGCCGTGAACGCTGTGCCTATTGTTCCCCCCCAAGTACTCCCCCTCCAAAAAAAAAAAAGGAGAAAAAGTTGGGACACTCCCCTTCATCCGCCAAGCTCAGAGCCGTTGGAGTCGCTGCCGTGTCTAGCTCCTCCCCTCCAAAAAGTCTAGGCCATGTGGAGCTCGGACACCTGGTGATTCCTGCGCGGAGGCCTTCCCCTTCCTCCGGCTTTCGGGCGGAGGGGGCAGCGGGGTCTCTGCCTCCCCACACCCCCCCCCCACCTCCCTAGGCGAATATGCGTTGGAGTGGACGTTTGGTGGAGTTCTGGCTTCCGCGGGCCTCTCTTCCAGCCAAACACCAAAGTTGCGTGCGTAGGTGTTTAATAATTGTGAAATTAGAGTTGCTTGGAGGCCGCCTAAGTTTGCACGCTTGTCTGGTGAGGACGCAGCGGCTTGTGATCTGCATTGTCAGTCATGTCGGAAAAGCGCATGAAGCTTCTGCTTAGTTTTAGCTGTTCGCAGCAACTTAGTTGTGGTTCTGTCTGGCCATAGCAGCGAGAACTTTTCTTCTAGAGATTGCATTTGGTTTTCCTTTTTTTTTTTGTACTAGGAGGGTAAACTCAGTCAGATTAGCTGAGAGTATTAGGTTTTTATTTATGTTTTTAAAAAATTGCCGCGTATTGTATCAGTCGTTTACGTTGGCTCCTGAGACTGGTATTGGTAATAGCCAGGAAACCGAGGTTAAGGGTGCTTTGGTGCTTTGACCATTTTGGAACTGAAGACGAATGGCTAAACCCACTAAAATGTCAAAGGTGTCTGTTGCTGTAGCAAATCTGCCGTTCTTTAGAAATGGCAGACCTTGTGGGGCCTGTCTTTTTTTTTTTTTCTTCCCTTTTACTACACTAAAGGAGGCAGACTGATGGTTGCCGCCCCCTTCTCTTTGTTGCTAGCTCTGATTCTTTGTTCAGCCTGAAGGGGAAAGGAGGCCCCTGTTAGGGATAATTTCGGTGAGGCTGGGATCTTACTTTTCCTAGGGAACAGGTATCACTTTTTGCCTTTCTTGTTGAAAGGAAGATGCAACGATAGTTTATAAGCTTTCTCTCTGCAAATGTTTGTATGGTTTGATTTTGGGTTTATGTTGTTTTTTTTTACCAATATGCTTTCTTGTTTTTTCCTTTTTTTATGTTAAGTCAGGTGGCTGTAGTTTACTAGTTATTGACAGCTTCAGTTTTTCTGTTATCCCTACATTTTGATACTCATTGCTAGCAAGACTCCCTTAACAGCCACAAAGCTATACTACCAAAGAGGGGAGAGAAACTGCTGAAGGAATAAGTTCGAAGGTGGCAGGATAATGGCGACTTAAAGCAGTTGTAGCTCATATCTTGCCAAAGTATGTAAACTAGGATAAATGTATTTAACAATAATAGTGTCTGTTGTAAAAGTGATTTAAAAAAAAAAATAAATGCTTTCTATGTGACAGAAAGGTACAGCTTTGGAATGCTTTTGATGTCTTATTATTTACTGGCAAAGGCAACAGTTTATCTTACACTCTTTTGGAAATAGAATAATAGAATCAACTAGGTTGGAAAAGGCCTTTAAGATCATCAAGTCCAACTATTAACCCAGGACTACCAAGTCCACCACTAAAGCATGTCACTGAGGGCCTCATCTACACTGTTTCTGAATACTTTAACATTTCTTCTAATAACTCTTTTTTGAGTTAATACCTGCAGTAAGTATTTTTGATGCTAATTTGTTGCTCATCTGGCAATTCTGAGTATCTTGTAACTGTGTTGTACCAGCAAAGTCTTGAATCAAAGTACAAGGAACATTGGAAGTCTTAACCCAAAGCCAGAAGAACCCATAGATACCTCAACTCATAGATACTACAACTGAGGTAGTAACGTATCTCCAAGGTTGTCATAACTGAAGTAAATGAGTATTTTTTGGTCGTAATTGTCCCTCCATGCACACTTGCACTCTCTTTCTTTAAAAGCATACACTAGAAAGTGTTGAAAAGTACTGGAAGTGTATATGCATATCTCCTAAGATGCGATAAATTCCTACATACTTTAGTGAAACTCAGTGTTGTCAGATAAAATTGCTTTTTAAAATTAGCCTGTCACCAAGTTTTCTCAGTGTATTAACTCTTTCTGCTAATTAACAGTTTTAATAGCCTTCACATTGTACCTGGAATCAATAAAACTTTGGGTGGGTGAAGCGTGATTTAATTTTCTACAGTTTGTAATAGACTGTCAGCCACATCCAGTTTGCAGAAGCATTGCTTGTGATCATGCTCACATGAAGAATTGTTTAAATTTGCACCAGTATGCTATGGGAAGAACTACAAATGTACAGATTAAAATACTTTTGTCATCTTGTCCGAAATATATTTAATAAATGCTTCTAGTCTGAATGTACATATGGCCATACCTTAGTGAAGTCTGTTCTTTGTGCTGCTTAGAACTGTGCTAGTAGGGAATCATAGAATCATAGAATAGTTAGGGTTGGAAAGGACCTTAAGATCATCTAGTTCCAACCCCCCTGCCATGGGCAAGGACATCTCACACTAAACCATCTCACCCAAGGTTTCATCCAACCTGGCCTTGAACACTGCCGGGGATGGAGCATTCACAACCTCCCTGGGCAACCCATTCCAGTGCCTCACCACCCTAACAGGAAAGAATTTCCTCCTTATATCCAATCTAAACTTCCCCTGTTGAAGTTTTAACCCGTTACCCCTTGTCCTGTCACTACAGTCCCTAACGAGGAGTCCCTCCCCAGGCATCCCTGTAGGCCCCCTTCAGATACTGGAAGGCTGCTATGAAGTCTCCATGCAGCCTTCTCTTCTCCAGGCTGAACAGCCCCAACTTTCTCAGCCTACCTTGATATGGGAGGTGCTCCAGTCCCCTGATTTCCTTGTGGCCCTCCTCTGGACTTGTTCCCACAGTTCCATGTCCTTTTTACGTTAAGGACGCCAGAACTGCACACAATAGTCCAGGCGGGGTCTCATGAGAGCAGAATAGAGGGGCAGGATCACCTCCTTAGAGCTGCTGGTCACACTCCTTTTGATGCAGCCCAGGATACAGATTGGCTTTCTGGTCTGCAAGCGCACACTGCCGGCTCATATTCATCTTCTCATTGACCAGCACCCCCAAGTCCTTAGTATTTTATTTTAGCCTTTTACCATGTGTCTTAAGGGTATTGCCACAGTCTTGCAGCATTTGGCTCAGGTAGTTCAGTGGCCTCTTCCAGGATAGGCATGTGTTGTACAGTTGCCCGTAGCAATGAGGACAGGGCCTAAATGGTCTTTTCAACTCTGCTTTTACAGCAAAGCACAGTTCTGGGGAATCACACAACCAACATGGTTAAGTTAATAAGTGTATTCATTCCATGCCAGTGCCCTGTCTGTATTGTTTAGATTGCTGCTTGTGCATAATGAAATGTGGGTTTTCAAAAGGCTCTACCTTCGTGAAAAATTTGAGATCTGCTTCAGAATGTGGTTGGTCCCACCCATAAAAACGAGACTAAACCTGTTTCAGTAGGGCAGAATGCTACTATATTCAGACATTGTTTGAAGTACATTAGCACTTCTACTTAAAGCTTATGTCTGCAAATAAAATGAACTTAAAATGAAGGGTTTCACAGAAATTCATCAGTGCTTTGCACAGTGGCTTCCAAACACACTGAAGATGTCCAACCTCTGTTCTGGGATCAAAAGTCATAGCTTTGCTAATCTTATGCTGTCTGCTTGATTTTAAAAACTAGCAAAAAAACCCCCCACAAAACAAAACAAAAAAACAGACGACCCAAACCAGCCCTTCAGGTACTAGTGAAGTAATTTTAGGCCTGTTTGAATAGGTGTTTGTTGGACTGATTAATGATCTTTTTTTACATTCATCGTTACATGAGTTCACCCATTAGTATTGCTGAAGTCAGTCCAAATGTGGCTACTTTTATTAAGATTTGTGTTTTTTTCATGTGGTTTCCATTGCAGCAGTTAGTGCCATTCTGAAATACCTCATGGTTTTATAGTAACTGTACTTAAAATAAGCAGGTATGGTCAGTGTATATAACAATCTGTATCAGTTACAAAGTAATGTAACTTACAAGTTACAAAGTATCGAAAAGGATAAGTGAATGTCATATCTTGCCTCTTCAGGCCTTCAAGACTGTTCTGCAATGGCTAATTTAAAGGTGCTGTTTTTCTATGTAGTTCGCATAATTAGAGAGACTAACATACTTTTTGGGGGACATTGCAACTTTTGTTAATTGGTTGTGTGCTTGTCAGGCATAACTGAAGTTACTTTAGGGCATGTAGTCTCTTGTATTTTTCTATTTATTGAAGTATTTGACATCTGTAGACCTTGCTGAAGTCTTCGATAGAGAAGTTCTAAAACTAATCTAAAACTTATGTTCATCAAATGAGTCATGTAGGTTTATTTTTATTTGGTAGCTCTCTTCAGAATTTAGGCAAGTGACTTGTATGAATTGAGAAGTAATAATATTTATTTTTTTAATATATTTGAACCGAAAACATGATGGTGTATGCTACAACTGAATTTTCAGGTAGCTCTTTTGGTCATTTGTAGGTATCATGTTTTGAATCTTGTGGTCAACGCTGCAGGACAGTAAACTCATGCTAGAATTGGCTCTTGGTTTGTTTCTTTTCAGTTAAGGATTCAGCTTCTGGAGATGATGTTGTTCCTTCTCAATGAGAGCCATTTAGCTGATATTTTTACTGGTATTAACCACTAAATTTGAAACCTTGAAGCCTTGCTGTGAAAGGTTAATAGATATGCCAGCTTTCTGCATATACTACTTTGGATTTTTTCCCTCCACTTCCTTTTTAATTTATGTTCTTTTGCACTTCCATGGGCAACCACACTGGTGAGTGATATAAAATATGCTCATTTCTCATACACTTCTGTATGATTTTTTACCTTTGTATTGACAAATGTAAGATTAAATACTCATACTGTGCAATACTAGTCTTGTGCACTTGGCCTCACTTATATACTCATATATACTATATTCTAGTCAGAGTTTGGCCCTATGCGCAGAACTTTTTAGCTCAGTTGTGGATAAAGTGTTTGTACTAGGAAGGGCATCTTCTTCGCCGAGTAAAGAAGGAGAGACTTTTGACACCTTTGCCTTCACCACAGGATGATGGCTGCCTTTTGTGATGTGTTGTTGGCTGGAAATCAAGGTGCTAATGAAGAAAGTGGAACCTCTTCTGTACCTTTTCTTTCCCCACCCCTGCTAACATGCACATCGCAACAGTCCCTTGAAACTTCATGGGTTTTTTTGTCCATATGTTTGAATTTATTGTTTTATGAGGCTAATGCCAAAAATTATATTTTTTTTTTTGCTAGTGATGCTAAGACCTGAAAGGTGTAAATCATATTGCCTGTTGCTAATGCGTATACTATTATCTATTGTTAGTCATTACTGCTGATGTCTAATATGGAAAGATTAATATGTTTCTGCTAGATACTCACCCACAGGTCTACTTGATTAAATAAGCTCCCGTTTAATTTACCAACTTGCAAATTCTTTTTAAAGTTCTCCTTTCTGGTTAAAAACAAAGTGAAAATTAAAAGGTATGCTTAATTGACTGATTATTTTTTTACGTGTACATACACTGAAGAGTATGGCATGTATAATATACTTACCTTTGAATTTGTTTAATTTATCAATTGCAGTATATCAGAGGATGTGTTGCAAGTATATTTTGGAAGCTTGTTAGCCTTTTTTTTATTCTCTTACATAAGGGAAAATAACAGATCTTATGTTTTACATAAGACAGAAAATAATTCTTCATGGTCTGCTTCTTTATCCGTCAATGTTCTGAGTAAAATGTCAGTAACTGTGGAAGCTGAAGTTAGTTAAAGTGACCTGTTTAAGAAAAAAAAAATATGCATATACATAAACATTCTTTAAACCACAGAGGCATTTGGAATTCAGTTTGCTCAAAAGCATCATGTTATTGAAAGTCACTATTGTCTTAAAAAATTCAAAATTTTAAGCTGTTGATAGCTTGAAGTTTTGTAAATGTGAGACTTAATAATTTCACAAAGCAAAGCAGGCCTCGTAAATGGCTGGTTTACATCTTCTAATCATTAGTTTCAAAGAGCTGTGGTAGAGCTTTCCTAAATTCCAAATTTGTACTGTTTTGTAAGATTCTTGGAAATCTTTTTTTTTTTTTTTTTTCGGGTAGGAAGGAAGGTGGTTATATTCTCAATACCTTTTGCTCTTGACCTGCCTCTGACCAAAATTGCAAGGTTGCAAGAAGTATCTGCAAGATGCCAGGTCTTAATAACTGACAGGGAGTGCTAATCATCCACTTCAGTTCCTAAATTAGTAGGACCGAGTTCTTCGAAGTTCTTAATGCTAAAAACTGGTATTTCTGTTGTTATGGGACTGCTAAAAGCTAGGTGTTGAGTGACTGTTTTTTCTAGGTAATTTCATCTTCCATTACATTAGGTTCTATCTGTTTTCCTGAATGTCCTTACTGTCCTCATCACTTTGAAAGCTGGATATTAAGAGTGCTTTGAGATTTTATCTGACTGTAATGCTTGCTTTTCTTGGTAGTTGGTGATGCTACTGCTGCTGGCATTTTCCCCTCCTCCTGAACTGAAGCTTACGTTGAGGAGATGAAACTAAAGGTGTTCTGTAGCAGTGCTACTTCTTACCTCTGATTAATAAAATTTGTAAAATAGTATGACATTGTGAAAACAGTGCAGCTTTTGTTCCCAGTGGACAAGGCAGAGCATGTTGGAGGATGTAAAAAAGAAGTAAAAATTCACTAAGTAAATCCACCAAAGTAAAAAGTTCACTAATCCTACCAGGAAATTTGGTCAAAAATAATAGGTACTATTGCAAATAGTTGTTACGGAATTCTCCAACTGAAGGCCATTGACAGTTGGACATACCTTTTGGGCTTCTCTAAGTTTCCAGAAACATATGAATTGCTAGTTCTGTTTAAAGAGGATCATGTCTCACTAATATCAGTGTTCAAAGTGGAAAGAGGTGTGTATGTTCTAACACTACTCCAGCTGGGGGAAAACTTACTAGCCTGTGATAGTAGCCATTCTTTCCTTAGAAATAATGTGTCAAACTTGTTATCTTAATTGTGAGTCTAGTTGCTCTCCAATTTGACAGAGCTGGACTAATCTGAATTTCAGGTTTTGTTAATAAACTACTGTGGATCCCTAGCAAGCAGGTGTTTGGGGAATGTTTGTGCATGTGATTGCAGCAATGGATGCAAAGCTAGCTTCTGGAATGTGGCTGCTAGGGCTAGTAGCTAAGGGCAGGCTGAGGATGGTGTGTTCAGATCAGCTCCTGCAAAGTGGTAGGCTTTGCTGTAGCCTCTGTTGTTGTATGGTATGGCTACGTCATCAGTAGTTTCTGCTCTCCTCTTAATTCCAGTTTTGTTTCCTATAATTTATTCTTCAGTTCTGTCCCACTATTTTCTTCACTTTTGATTGGAAACCACATCCTGTAGGCATCTTTGCCCTCCCACTACTGTCTGCTTGTAGTAAAACTGTTAGATTTGCCTTCTTTTTTTTTCATAGTTGTTTTTTGTTTTTTTTGTTGGGTTTTTTTTTTGGATGTTTTGAGGTTGTTTTTTTTTCCTGGAATCATACCTGCTAGCTTATATTCTTGTAAGTAGCATTTAAAAATGGCTTTGTAATAGCTGTTCATTTGTGTGATATTGACAGGTGATATTGGAAACTATTACTATGGACAAGGGCATCCGATGAAACCTCATAGGATCCGAATGACCCACAACTTGCTGCTAAATTATGGCTTATACAGAAAAATGGAAATTTATGTGAGTATAAGCAATGGAATGTCCACTGAAGCATTTTAAATTATTTTAAAGGGCTTCAAGTGTTCTCACACAAATAAAAGGAGAAAAGTGGAACTGAAAATAGCAAATACTTAAATAGAGTGTTCAGGGGTCTCTGTTAGAATTGAAGCAATATTTTGTAATTGGTGAGGACTGCAGATTATTGTTCATGTCTGGAAGGAGTGTAGAGCCCCAGTAGAGAATTTTCACTGGTATTTCTGTGGTTGGGGGCTTAGGTGTTAGGAAGACATTGGGGTAATTAATCAAGTTGTATACTAACAACAGAGTATGTTTTGTGTAAAGCATCAATGCTATCAATTTAACTATTCTCCCTTCAAATTAGGTTTCTTTCCAACTGTCTGTTTTAGCAAGTTCTTAGCTGATTTTGCAGAGCATTCTTGATTATTTCTATAACTTGTTCTTGTCATCAGCGACCCCACAAAGCTACTGCAGAAGAAATGACGAAGTACCATAGTGATGAATACATCAAATTTCTCCGATCAATAAGGCCTGACAATATGTCTGAGTACAGCAAGCAGATGCAGAGATGTAAGTGTCAATATTAGGTTAACTCTATGTGTACATACTTTGATGGTTAGTGTTGTTTAAAACTCAGTATTTACCAATTCAGAGGTATGAACATGGCTTCATGGTGGCAGTGGATTAGAGAAGTACTGTAGCAAGACTAACATGTGCCTGCCTTTAGCTACAATAATTTGGGGACTTTTCTATTAAAAGCAGCCACCTTGGCAAAAATGTTCTTTTAAGTTTATGGAAGGATTTTTGCTTCCCCTTTCACAGCATATATTCTAGATGTGAAGTAATAATTTTTGCAGGCTTAATGCACAGATTAAACTTAAGTTTGTGAAAGTGTCTTAAAATCTGTTCTAATGTGAAATCTTTCTGAAAAAAAGAATGGCTTTTAGAAGAGAAGTAAAAAACTATGTATGAAAATGTTTATGTCAAGAAAAGGAGATAACTCATTCCTCTTGGATAGTAAAAATTGTACATTATTCACTGTTCACACTTTCTGTTAATTTATTCCTTTAATTGTAAGAATAGGCTCAAAGTACTGTTAGGAATGCAGTTTGACAGCTATTATATGAATTTAAAAGGCAGTACTGTAACCTCTTCATGATGCCTTAGTCTCAGCAAATTATTTTTCCAAGTAGTTGTGCATTTCTTAACATGGCATATGTTAATCAGACTTCTTCCAAAATCTAAAAATGATCTAACTTATTCTTAACAAGGAGACAAAGCTTCCCATGGAAACTAAAAATAAAAATAGAGTCATCTCAGATTAAGGAGACTTTACATTGGTTTTGGTAATAAAAGTTAACAAAAATGAGGCTCAGGCAGAAGTAGTTAAAATGCTGAATGAACTATGCTTGCATCTGTGTTATCCATGCATATAGCAATGGATTTGGAATGGTGTTTTTGAAAAGTAATACATTTCTTACACAGTTAATGTTGGAGAAGATTGTCCTGTATTTGATGGCCTGTTTGAGTTCTGTCAGCTGTCAACTGGAGGCTCTGTTGGTAAGTAAAGGTTGTTTGCCAGCTGTTTTGTAGCTTTATTACATTTATGTTAGCAACTTAAAACTTTGATAGTATATTTAAAACTGAATCAAATATAAGTGTCTCTTTTTAAAGAAAGAGATAATGGTCTTTAAGTCAGTTATGGACTGAAATGTGAAATGAATCAAGTATCTCTGTAAGAGATCAGACCTAGGATCAATTAATTTAAAAATTAATATACTATTTTATGTAACAGATTTAAAGGCCGTTACAAGTTTCTAACTGCGTTTCCTTCAATTTTTGTGTTTATCTTTTTACAGCTGGGGCAGTAAAATTGAACAGACAACAGACAGACATGGCTGTTAATTGGGCTGGAGGACTTCACCATGCCAAGAAATCAGAGGCATCTGGTTTCTGTTATGTCAATGATATTGTGCTTGCTATCCTTGAGTTACTGAAGTAAGTGTATGATGGGAACAAGATAAAGTGTCAAATTCAAGTATTTAAGTATCAGAAGATATGGATTGTAATACTATTTCAGTGAGTTTCCATCGCCCATGTTGTACAGTTTCAATTAAGAAAATGTCAAGCTTTGCCCAGTTTGGTTTCAGCAAGAAGATACAAGCTGAAAAGATAACTAATAGGAGATAGGCTTAAAAACAGGTACTTAGAAGTACTTCTTTACACAGAGTATACTTAAGTTGTGGAGCCTGCTGCTACAGAAGGCTGAAGGAAGCAGACAGCAACAACAGATTCAAAAAAGAGATTAAACACAATCATGGACAAGAGGTCTGTAAATAGATATTAAACATCCAAGCAATGATGCGCCCTCTAAAACCCCATATGCTGTAATTCTAGATGGTGGGAGAAGTATGAGGGTATCAGACTGCAGAAAATGGACAGGCTTACATGCGTTCTGTAAATGTTAATCTCCTGTTGCTACTAATGGGGACAGAATAGTGAGCTAGATGGGTCAGTGCCCTGGCCCCTTACAGCAGTCATTATGTTCACAATCATTTGGTTTCTCAGTATGCCTGCTTGTTCCCTATCATTTGAGTCACTGCTAAACCAAACAGGAATATTCAGGGAAGATCATGCACTAAGCTTCCTTGGATTGTTACATGAATTAATGTGGCTGTTAGGAATAAATAATGAAATAACAGCTGTGCTGCTGTGACTGCAAAATAAAAAAATGAGTAATGAAAAAGTGGTCATATAATTAACTTCAAGCAGTAATGCTTCACTAAAATTTCAAATCCTGAGTGTTACCTGTGCTGCTTCATGGGACTGTATCTCTTGTAATAACACATAAATCTCGTTTATTACAAAAAATATTTGAGATATTTGACTCTTGTGAATATAACAGCTGAGTCTGCTGGTGAGGGATGGGGGAAGCAGCTATAATCCGGAAGTGTTTTTTAAAGATGAAAAAAGTATCTAAATGCACCAACAAATAGTCAATGTTAACATAATTTTAAGGTAAGGCATGTATTCAGGGTCTGCCTCTGCAGTCTGAGACAAACTACATGATTTTCTGTGGTCCAGTCTCCAACTTGTTAGCTTAATGTGCTCTGTGAAGGAAAGAAACTTTCAAATAATTATGGGTTATGTATCCATAAGGAACTGTCCCGCTCAGTGTCTTGTTAAGCAAAAAATCTTAGCCCACCTGAAATTATGGTTGCTCAGATTCACATTTTCTAGCACTATGCAAAGCATAATGGAAATGCATCTTCTGATGTTGATAGAATTTAAGGAATACTTACTGTTGTCTGAGGCTTCAAACAACTGGTTTCTACTAAGCAGCAGTGTAATAAGTTTATGCTAATAGGGTGATACTCCTGGAAATAAGAATTTGCCTATCTGTACAAGTAGCAGAGGTGAAGAAGAAAACTAGATAGAAAATAAGTATTTAAATTTAGTATTTTGTGGGCTTATGGATCATGGGTTCTTCCTGCTTCTGTCACTGTGCTGTCTGAAGCACGCAGTAAGAGATATTTTAGTGTAGGCTGTGTTGATAATTATTGAGAAGGCAGAAACAAATGCCCTGTGAAAGGAATGAATTTAGCAGATGCAAACAGCCGAAAGTGGTGTGGACGGAAACACATGGTATAGCTTCTAGGAGGTGATACAACTTGGGGTAAATACTGATATAATTGCATACTTAAATTATTTTGATGAAGATGAACTTACTTTCATTATTATCTAAACTATATTGAGAATTCTAAGATCATATGGTAACTGCTACCAAAGTCATCAAAATGATCATAATCTTGGGTTTTATTGTTTGGTTTTTATCATTGGTTTTTTCCTTGTTAGGTAAGGGTATATTATGAACATAACAGATAATGATGATTTCTCATACAATATTTTCTTTTTAGGTATCACCAAAGAGTGTTGTATATTGATATTGATATTCATCATGGTGATGGTGTTGAAGAAGCATTTTATACTACAGATCGTGTCATGACAGTATCATTCCATAAGTATGGTGAATATTTTCCAGGCACTGGGGACCTTAGGGTAAGGTTGAATATGAAATTTCATTAGGTGATAAATTCTTCCTTATGGTCTTGCTTGTAGATACTGTTTTCATACTAGGTTGCAGTAACTGTGTCCAGTAACAATATACAGCAGCAACTTTTCAGAAAGTATGTTAGTCTAGAGTGATAGATTTGAAGAACCTTAGGGGGGAAAAAATTAAAACCCAGTATAGCGGGAAAGTAAATTATTCACTTCTTCATGAAATTGACACCTTCACTTCTGGATAAATTGTCTGAAATTTTAGTTCAAATGTATGATTAGTTTAGTTCTCTCAGATTTTGGAAATGTCTCTAGGAAGACAGTGTGGTATATTTATAATGACTGTGTTTCAGTTCTGCATGTGCAGTGAAAAGTAACTGGAGATCACATGGCTTCAAAAATTATTTCAAATCTTAGAATAACTTCATGCTAGAGTCACAAAGCTTTAGTTGCAACTTGAATTTGCTTATGTTCTGTTTGCCTGGTAATATAGTTCACTCATTTTTTGATTATTTCTTATGTCATAAAGTTCTCTTGATGCTCACTGCTGAAGAACTTTAGTATGCTCCACATACAGTTGTGTATGCTCCACATACAGTTGTGTACCGATCCTTACAGCATGGGCCTGTGAAGAATTACCATTGAAGATGTAGAATCTCTGGCAAAGCTGAGAATGGAAACCAGTTTTCCTGGCCCTTCATATTAAATTTGCTAGTCATTCATCATGTTAGACTCTTGTCTGTTTGAACAGGAAATTGTTCCACTTCACAACTTGAACGAGAATTTAAAGTATTAGGATTAATATATAATTAAGCCTAGCTTCAAACTCTTAGATTGAACTTCTTACCAGAGGCTCTCCGTGGGTAGGTCAGTCCTCTGGTGTCAGCAAGTTTGTACGTTAATTTATGCATACAGTTAGTAATTTTTTTTTAAATTGTAAGCACTTCTGAAAAGTTGACCTATAGAACTGCTACGTTAGGAAAGAATTCACTGTTTTCCTACTACCTTTAAATTGATTCAAATGATGGAGATGTTTGTGTTTATGCTGATATTCCTGAAATGTGTGCTTCCCAGGGTGCTGATGATACCCAGAGGACCCAGAAGTAAATTAAAGTTGAGCTTTAAATCAGTGAGGTGCTAAGCCTCCGTTTCAGTGTGATTATTGGAGCCAAATATTATGGTGATTAGATACTGTTAAACTGTGTCTAAATTGATTTAGGTAGAAATCAGATAAGGCGTTGTTTTATCCGTGTGGTTTAACTTCTCTGGCCACAAGGTGGTAGTGGTGCTTCAAAAAAAAGCAGCTCAGACAAGGATGTTTATCATGACAAGCTGTTGTTGCTGAATTTGGCTGGATTTATTTTCCTTTTTTTTTTAAGGGTTAGATATCTTGGCTTTTTAGAAATGGCACTTCCCGTTGACACAGAAGTTTATGGACTCTTTGCCTCACCACACCCAGGACAAAGAATTTAAAGATAACACAGTTGAAATAAATAGATGAATATTGTGTGTTTCTGGGATATTTTTTTTCAGTAGAGTGTCAGCAGCAAGCAGTACTTCAGTTATAGTAACTTTTATTCTGTGCTGCTAGCTAGTATTTTGAAATGAGCATTGCCTGCATACGGACTTCAGCAGGCTTTAGAGCAATTATTATATCCCCGTAGGAAAAAAAAAAATAGCTTTTTCCGATCTCCAGAGCTTGCAAAACTAATTGAACTAAAGGGAGAACTGTTTCTCTGAAAAGTCAGTGTTCCTTCTGGAAGCTGGTGTTGCACTGCTTGCTTCTGCTCAGATTGATCTACTGTTGCTGGTTATTTGCATGAAGTTTAACAGCTAAATCTTAGCTTTATTTTTTTGTCAGTGGGCTCCATTCAAGTTTGTTTCTGTAATTCTTTAGTTGGTCTAGTTTGCTTATCAGGTTAGACTCATTTGATGCAGGAACAAATCATGCGTCAGCTGATGGTTTTGTGACTTCAGCTCTATTGGTGTAGCTCACAGAGGTTGTCTAGTTCAGCTGCATTCATTCATTTTTCTCCTGAAGGTATTGCACATCTGAACTTCCAATGTCCTTAGTAAGTTATTTGATTTTCTATGTATCTTAGATAGTAGCATTAACCTTCTAAGTAGATAGGTCAGTTGAGACTGTAGTACTACATAGAGGCCCAGGTTCTGTGTGGAAATTTGGTTTGTTGATGAATTCAAATCATAATGCTATATTGTTTCTTTAGTGTTTATCATCAATGCAAGTACCAGTTAGAGAAAACGTCCCTTGGGTAGCTCAGGCTGGAAGATAATTACCTAGGTTAATGGGAAATTGTGTGAACATTTGGCTACTTTATGTTCTAGGATAAAATCGATTTAATTACTTCTTTTTTTGGGTTGTTTTTTGTGTTGTGTGGGATGTTTTTTTTTTTGTTGCTGTTTTAATCTGGAAAGCAAGGCACTGTCACCTCAGAAAAATCATTTGAAGCCTAGGTAATTATTTTTGGGAGATTCTGGGTAACTGTTATGCTCCAGATCAGCCAGAATTTTTAGTTCAGCAGGGGTCTTCAGTGTCACTAATCTTGCAATGCTATGAAATAATAATGTGCTAGAAGAAAAAAAAAGTCAACTGTTAACACTGGGCTGCATTGGGCCACTTGTCCCTGTCCTCATGTCTGTCTTTCTCCCATCTCCGTCCTGTATTGTCTGTGTCTGCACACATGCACCTCTCGGGTGAAAGATAGTTACTGGAAGTGAAATGTTACTGTTGCCTTCACTGCTAAGGAGGGGAAAGTCCATGACTATTTTAATAGCTAGTGTTGAGAAGTTGAATATAAGTTCAGTATTTATGCCTTGTAGTTTTTCAAGGAGGAGGGGCCTGAAATGTGCTTTTTGTAGAGCTGGTGTTTTGTGGTAGTTTACAGCCAGACTGAACAGATTAAATCTTAGTATCTTCCCCACTGCATCTTTATTAGTGGCAGAGAACTGTTCCATATACTGGATCAGTTTCTGTCTTAGTGATGAGCTAAAGGGAAGAAATAGGAAGGAGTGGCAAGCAGGGATCTTTAGGTTTTAAATTGTTTCTGCTTAACTGTTTTTACCATCTGAAACTGATGAGTTACATTTTGTCTTTTTTGTGTTAAATCTTTGAATTAATCAAGTATACTGACTGCAAACTTAGTCTTGGTATACAACTCCTACACTACAAAACAATTTTATGGGAGAACAGGAATCAAGTAAGGTATTTCACCTTTTTTTATCTCGCAGACATGAATAATGGTACAAAATGGCTCAGTGAACCTGTGTAGATGTTTTCCCATTATACCGTCGTGTGCTTCTGTGTTTGTAATAAAGCATTTGTCACCTTTGCTTATATAGGACATTGGTGCTGGAAAAGGCAAATACTATGCTGTCAACTTTCCAATGAGAGATGGTATAGATGATGAATCATATGGACAGATATTCAAACCAGTGAGTACTTTTTTTTTTTAAGCTCTCTAGAAGAATGCTTGTTCAGTATTGTGAGTATACTTCCATAACATGAAATAATGAATTAATTGGTGTTTTATCCTGATTATAGATTATATCCAAAGTAATGGAGATGTACCAGCCCAGTGCTGTGGTATTACAGTGTGGAGCAGATTCACTGTCTGGTGACAGGCTGGGATGTTTTAATCTTACTGTTAAAGGTAAGCAAAAAAGTGTGTGTGTTGTCTGTAACTTTTATTTAATAGAAACCTCTATCCTTGATACTATTTTTCAAGACACTTGCATGATGAGGACTGGAGTCACAAAGATTTTGTTCATTACTATGATTAATCACCTCTTTCTTTGCTATACAGGGGTGGCCAAAAGAAACTCAGAAGTTGCCTCTTTCTTTCTTTCCATCTAAAAAAGTTAAGCTTGGTTTTCCATGTTCTTCCTAGCCACTCAAGTGACTCCCTTTCTTCTATGAACAGGCTTTCTGTAGCTTTAAAGCAATGTTCTGAAATGACAGGACAAGGAGAGTTGTCCTACTGCAACACTTATTATGATGGGCGAATAAAAAACTAGTGGTTCACTTAGTAGGACTACTGATACCAAACGTCAAACACCTGTTGGGTGTAAAATAGGTATTACTGAAATGAAAACACTTATTAAGTTTGTATTGGTATTTATTGTTACACTGAGACTTACGTTAACATTTTTATAAACTTCTACAGGATTAATTTTCTTCAGTGTTCCTTACGCTTTTATAAAAAAAAAGTGATTCTGAAAATTGGGCTGAGGTGCTAATTTAGCAAACAGCATAAATATTACTCTTATTATTGACTGTAATTAATAATACATTACTTGTATGTTGAACTTCTGCTAAGCCTTGAATCCAGTCTATTTGAATCATTTATTTTCTGGGTTTTCTTGGGTTTGTGTTTTTTTAATGAGGCAATTTAGAGTTTTATAGGCAACAAAATGCAGTATAGTATCTGTTGGGTCTGCAGTGTTTCAGGGTTCTTTTCTTGATTTGCACCAGGTGGCAAAGCTACTTCAGTTGCTCATACAGCTCAGATTTTTTTCCATCTTACATATCTTGGAAACCAAGAGAGCTGCTGCCTCCTACAGATGCCTTTCAGTATGCTGTATCTCCCTGGAGTGTGTACTGTCTTGGCACCAGTTCACTCTGTAAGCAAGACTTAGCAACCTCTAATACAGGTTCAAATTTAGAAGTAGAAAGGACCAAGTAACTGATTTACTGTTTTCCCTTCTTTCCCTGTTGCATTTGACCTGAGAAATTGTCCCTAGATTTGTTACTGTGTGTGGACTTCAGTTACAAAAAGACAAAATGCTAAACTTCCTAAGAGCATTTCAGAAAAGCAGCAGTAGATCATCATGCAAAGTCTCTGAAGACTGGGGTGGATAATTAATGTTCAATGTATTTTGTACATTTCTTATCTGTAGGTCTTGACTTCTTGTGAGGTTGTACTTAGTTCTAGGGGGAGACAGTTCTGTTTTACTTGAATCAGTTCAGTTCTTTCGTGTTAAGTGCAACTGCATATGTCTTATTAAATAGTTAATTATATATTTTTTTCTCTTTAATAGATATTTTGCATATATTGTCAACTCTTTTTGTGTTTGACAGGTCATGCTAAATGTGTGGAAGTTGTAAAAACTTTTAACTTGCCATTGCTGATGTTGGGAGGAGGAGGATATACAATTCGTAATGTTGCTCGATGCTGGACATACGAAACTGCTGTTGCCTTAGATTGTGAAATTCCTAATGGTAAATATTAATACACAAGTTAATATTTTCTTAAAAGAATAATCATGAGAGGGTTTAAGTGAACAGAGCAAATATTTCTAAGCATCTGTTTAGAATAAACAACGTAGAAAGTTACTGTTAGGATTTAGACAATAAAATTTCAGTGGCTTATGCACTAAACAAACATAAAAATTGGGTCTTTTATGCCTTAGCAAAAGTTTTAAATGATTGGATCATTTTTTGAAAATTCAAAGCATCTAAAACTTACAGAACCTTACTTGTAACTATTTTTAATATGAATGTCATCAGTATGATACAATATATACTGCATTTTGATTGTAACAGGTAGATCTGAGTAAGTTGGGCTCCACAGACATACTATTCAAAAGAAATTAATGAGTATGCAGGTGTCTGTTTTACTATGTAAAACAACTGTTTCTTCACTGTATCCATGACTTAAAAAGTAACTGTGAAAGTATATTGACTTTGTTTGTTCATTTGACTCAGTTTTGCCTATACAAGCTATCTTAAAACAACTTTAAAAACCAAGAAAGCAATAGTGGACTCCTTTTGCATAGTTAAATAATGAAGTAGTTTCTCTAAGGAAGATCCCCAAAGGTCCTACACTCCCTTTACTTCTGGCCAGATATATTTCTGGACATGTTTTTGGAATGTCTTTTTGCAATGTTATTTGGACTGGTTTGTTGCGCATCAGTCACCAGTATTTTTCATGTTGGACTGCAGCTTTTCCTGATAAGCTTTTGCTGTTCATTTATTTCTTGCTGGATTCATAATGTTTCTGTCTGACTTCAGTGGAATGCTGCTGTCAGTGAGAAAAGAATATTTGGACAGTACCTTTCGAGATGTATATTTTCCATTGTGCATGTCAATTTATATTGAAAAGGGGGGGAAGTGAGCGAACGAGTTACCTGACTGGGTTTAAACCACGACAGTCAGTCAAAGTTTTTGAAGAGAGTCTTTAACTTTGGTGATTAGATGTTCCAGTCAGGGGACAGTTATGTGTACAAGTATAAAAAGTGAGGGAAGAGAAGGGGGGAAATGAACAGGGGCATCACTGAATCGCTTACTTACTGTGAATGTTGAGCTAGCTCACTTACCGTGAATGTTGAGCTAGCTGTAATTGTCAGCTTAGTATTGAGTATTACATATTTTACTGAAGGAATATTTTGAATGGCTCACTTAAACCTTTTGAACTGGATTGATTTTGAAAACAGCCATAAGAAATCATCAGTTGATCTTCTTTTTCCTGCAGAAGTAGCATTTTTAATTATTTTCTCAAATCTATGTTTGTTGTTCCAGTGTATGTTCTAACATGATTGCAGTAGAACTTGCTCTTGTTCTTTGTATTTTGCTAACAAATTTGAGTTCATTTACTGAATAATTCAGAAGAAAAACACTGAACGGTTTAGGCAGTACTTAATTATTGCTTACCCGAATGCTTCAGGTTTGATATTTCTCTAACTAAAATCCTGTTAAAACCATTGTTGCATTGAAAATGTTTGAAATCTTTTGGGTCACAAAGATGTCTTTTGTGTCTTGGTTTTTAGAATTGCCATACAATGACTACTTTGAGTATTTTGGACCAGATTTCAAGCTTCATATTAGTCCTTCAAATATGACTAATCAGAATACACCAGAATATATGGAGAAGATCAAGTAAGTAGTCCCTACAACAGTATGTATGCTTGTGAAGTCCTGTGCCTATAAATATGAAAATTTAAGACCCAGCTTGCATTTTTACTTTTTCCACCCTCTAGAGACATGACTGTTTTACTTGGCTTCCCCTTATAACTTTGTAGAAAGTTTATCCCACCAGGAAGGAGGCTGGTATGCTGTGATGATTAGGATTTCTAATTCTCGGCTCCATGTCAAAACACAAACCGAGATTGTCATCCTTTGTCAGCTGTAAAAATAAAAAGTCACATACGAGCTTGGACACCCAAAACTATGGAAAGATTAGCAATATGTGTGCAGACAATTGAGTGACTTTAGTTTGACAAATCCACATGGTTTGAGAAATGCTCATTGCCAAGCTGATGGCAGCCTTATGAAGTTTAACTGTGCCAAGTGCAAGGTCCTACACCTGGGTCAGAGCAGTCCCAGGCACAGCTACATGTTGGGCACAGAAGAGATTCAGAGCATCCCTGTGGAGAAGGACCTGGGGGTGTTGGTCAATGAGTAAATGAGCATGAGAAGGGCCATGAGGATGGTCGGGACTGGAGCACCTCCCGTATGAAGACAGGCTGAGAAAGTTGGGGCTGTTCAACCTGGAGAAGAGAAGGCTGCATGAAGACCTCATAGCAGCCTTCCAGTATCTGAAGGGGGCCTGTAGGGGTGCTGGGAAGGGCTCTTCATTAGGGACTGTAGTGATAGGACAAGGGGTAATGGGTTAAAACTTAAACAGGGGAAGTTTAGATTGGATATAGGGAAGAAGTTCTTTACTGTGAGGGTGGTGAGGCACTGGAATGGGTTGTCCAAGAAAGTTGTGAATGCTCTGCCCCTGGCGGTGTTCAGGGCTAGGTTGGACAGAGCCTTGGGTGACGTGGTTTAGTATGAGGTGCCCATGGCAGGGGGGTTGGAGCTAGATGATCTTAAGGTCCTTTCCAACCCTAACTATTCTATGATTCTATGTATCGGTGTTCATAACGCAAATATATAAATCATAGTCAAATGAAGGGGGTTAGTTTTTAATAATGTGCAAGGGAAGGGGAAACACACGCATCTTTTCTTTGATGTAATTCTGCAAAATTTCTTTGTGGTAGTGTAAGTGCTCCAGCTGGTGATCTGCCAGGCTGCTTGCTATATATTTGTGTGTTGTTGAGCTTTTGTGGTGCAAGTAGGGTGCAAAACTTGGTTTTTAACACATTCCTGGGCACAGATTGTGTGTTTTCTATTGACAGAGGTATGATCTCATATCCTCATATTGGCACCCACAAGAAGAGCAATAACTCATCATTTCAGAGAATCCTCCTTCAGTTAGCTGTATGCTTTCTTAGAGACCTAGCATGAGGGCCTTCCTGGACTGGCAAAACTCCTTTGCCAGGTCATGTGATTTAAACAGAGGCAAAGACTACAAGGATTCCAGAAAAACACCAGTTACGCTTTGGCTCTTCAAGTTGTGCAGAAGGATACTAATGCAGTTGTTATAAATGCTGATATTTGATACTTCCCAAACCTTTTTCTGTGCTTGGACTTCTTCATAATGATAGTCTTGAGTCCCAGGAGAAGCCTAATGTCCTTCCTGTTCCTGCACATTGTGCTTTGGAGTGTGGAGCCCATTGCATAAGGTTGCTTGGACAGAGAGTATGCCTCTCTGTTTTCCCTGAAACAGACAATAGGAAATTTTATGCAGATGGATTGCTTTTGACCTGATATCACTGCTACATGTAGTTGAGAAGTCTTTATGCTTTAAGAGTCTGATTTTCTGAGAAACTAGAGGGTAGCTTATTATCCAGCTTCCTACTTACAGAGTAATAACTGTCACTTGATTCAGCCCAAGTGGCCAGGATTTATGCTGACCCTGGGTGGAACTGAAGATGGAAGTTGATTGAAATAAGTGTTTAAAAATATCAAAGAAATGATGCTCAAGTACACTGTGGATACTAATGATCTCTTAGAGATGGAAACTTTCTGAAATTGGCATGCCTTTTTTCATTGAACAATGAAACAGCAACTGTAAAGCAAAGTAGGTGAACTTTGAATGCAGAGTTTTCAGAATCTAATACAAAATCCAAGGAGAAGCTACTTTTGTGTAGTAATAACTTCCCTTGCTTGTTACTTGTAGGCAACGCTTATTTGAAAACTTGCGTATGCTACCTCATGCACCTGGTGTACAGATGCAGGCCATTCCTGAAGATGCTGTTCACGAAGACAGTGGTGATGAGGATGGAGAAGATCCAGACAAACGAATTTCTAGTAAGAAATACATTTTCATAATAGAGCATGACCGAGTAGTGTCTTAGATTTAATTGGTCTAAATCTTAGTCCTGGTAGTGTAGTATTGGAAGATCGGCAATTATTTTTTTTTTCCTGAGTAAAAAAATTTGCCACTGGTGTGTCAGTTTTGCTGGTCTTAAGGTGGCATCTGTGTACACATCTAAGCCTGTTAAAGGGGTCTAAAGAAGTGTTGAAAGAACATGGGGGTTTGAAATTCTTATGAAACACTGGCTATTGCAAATCTAAAATAGATACTCCAGAAGTCTCAGTTGAATTTTAAGTAAAGGAATACACGATTTTGCCTCTGTCTTCTGCTATTCACAGAAAATAGGAATGTTTCTCCATAATGGGAAGTGCTTAAGAAAAGAAACAAAAAAAAAATAAATTCACTTTTATGGGGAGAGGTTTTCCACACTTGTGACACTACACTTCATTTCATTACCATCAGCCTTTATATGGATAATGAGTTGGTTTTCAGCTAGTTTCTTGCTACATTTAACCTTTTTTTTTGATGGTGACTGGAACCATCTTAAGTTCTTATTGGTGCACTGTCCATTTTCTCAACTGTTTAAACAGTGTTTTCTCTTGTGATATAATTTTCAGTATTTGAAATTAATTTGTTAAATGTTAAAATAACTCCCAGTCCACCCCTGTGTCTCTGTAAAACTATATTCATAAGCCATTGTGAGAGTCCCAGAGTATCTTGAAAGGTAGTATTTGCATCCATAATTTGGTTCATCAGCATTAAATGATTATATTTCTTAATTTGATAGTTCTTTTTTGTTAGATCTGTTGTAATTGGGTTTTATACTCAATTAAATTAACTCTGAATCCTAGTTCGAGCATCTGATAAGCGCATAGCCTGTGATGAAGAATTTTCAGATTCTGAAGATGAAGGGGAAGGTGGACGACGAAATGTTGCAGATCATAAGAAAGGAGCAAAGAAAGCCAGGATAGAGGAAGACAAAAAAGAGACGGAGGACAAAAAAGCAGGTAGGAGTCTGGTGTGATTTCATCCTGCATTTTAGAACTGCAGATGTCAGTTCTTCCAGGAGAAAGATGCGTTTTTTCAACAGTTAATTAGCTGTTGAGATGATTTATTTTTTACATCATATTCAAAACATCTATTTTAAATAAGTCAGTTTCAACATGCAGCTATTCAGACCAGAGTAGTATTTTCTGCCAAGAGTTATTGCTTCTTCACAGATTCGAAATCTTACAGCCAGGGATTCGTATAGTTTAATGAAAATGGGAATTAAAGTTTTTGCTTTAAAAACATTAGAGAAGGGGTTTGTTCCTGTTTGCTTTTGTGGGGTGGTCCCATCTGACTTTCTCTGAAACAGAAGTGGGATGGGCAATAGTGTAATTTGAAGGACTCTTGACTTTTCCAAGAACAGGCTGTGTTTTAGGGCTACAAGACTACCACAGGGGGGAAATCCAGGTTTCATTACTGCATACCCTCATTATGGCTGGTCAAGAGAGACCTTGCCTCGAGGTATTTTGAATCATTTGGCATTGTGCCCCCATCACTGCTTTGGAAGGATGCAGTTCATGCTCTATGTTCATATGTAACCAGTGACTTCTTTTAAAAGGTAGTTAACCCTGGCTAGGAATAGATAAAAAAAAAAAAAAAAGTCACACTTTTTTTCCTTCCAAAGTATTTTAAGGTTTTCTTCCATCTTTTGAAATATTTAAAATCTTGTCATTTTTCAGATGTTAAGGAGGAGGATAAATCCAAGGACAGCAGTGGTGAAAAGACAGATGCCAAAGGGTAAACACTTAATTAATAATGAATGTCACCTTTTTGAAGCGTGTTTGTTTAAATCAGTACTTTATAATATCCTAAATTCTAATGAGATCACTTTCAGTTCCTCATAATACTAAATATTTTAGACTCATGACAGTAGTAATTAAAATAGCATTTCTAAAGCAGTTAATTGAAAAATGAAACAACTTAATAGGTTATTTTTGCCTTTTTACAGAGCAAAATCTGAACAGCTCAGCAATCCTTGAACAAAAGATAGCCTCTCATCAGTTGCAGAACATAATACTAGAGTTGGAGAATACCTAAAAGAAGAAAAGTTTTCATATGGAGAGAGACTGCTGATTTCATTTTGTACTATTTGGCATGGACCGTATTTATTTTCAAACGGCTTTGTTCTGGTTTTTGGCAAGTTGTATTGTGAGTTTTCTAATTATGAGGCAGAAAATTGTTTTCTTCACCATGCTTTATGTAATAGTATTTAAAAATGGATGTGAGTTATTATGTTAAATGTCTAAACTGATCTATTAAAGTAATTTGCCTTTCCTGAGCTGATTTTACCTTTTTTGTAATTTTATCTTTATTAAAAAAAAAAAAAAAAAAGAAAAAATGTACTTGGTTGTCCTTTGTCTTTCATTGAACTACAAAGAGAAAAATCTGTATATACATAAGCAGGCTTACACTTGCCTATGAATAAGTAGTGGAGTTAAATGGACAGCTGGAGAGCACACAAACTGAACTGTAGTGCTTTCATTGACTCCACACATTTCACTGTCTTCTGTGTGGGGTGCAAACAAATGTATGGGAATATGAGTACATGAAATTTGAACAGGTTGAATAAATAGGTGAAGAGATGTTGGCATGAGGTGCTTGAATGGACTTGCATTTTAATTTTAAAGTTAAAACTCTGCAGTCACGTGCCTTGTACTGTCCAAGAACCTTTTCCACCGTCACAATCTACCCAGAAGACTGACTCATTTGCTGTTTATGAAATTTGTATATGGTCACCTTTCACAGCTTGGAAGATAGGAAGTGAAAGTTAACGTTTATCTTAAAACCCCTTCTGATTTTTACAACTATGAGCAACATAAAACTTTTTCTAAGGGGGTTTATTGCCTGCTGCAGCCTTTGATTTATTACTTTGTTCTAGTGCCTGAATAGAAATAGACCTGAGTGCACACATCCCTTTTTTTTTTTTTTTTTTTTCTTTTTCAGTCTACAGCAGTTGTCTTGTAGGTTGGCATTTAATGAAATGCACAAGCTTTGGTATCAGGATTTCAGAGCAGTGAGCACAGAAGTTCACAGAGCGCCACATTGCTACCCAATCTTTTTTTAAAACAAAAATTGATCTTACTACTTTTTTAACCTATTCTCCATTAAATTCTTGGATTGTAGTCTGTGGCCTAATTGATTTAATTCATGTGAAAATTCTAGTGCACTAATTTAAATTATTTGTCCATTTGTTCTTGTCCTGGATTCAGCTGCAAGAGTTATTTTTCTCCTCCTTAGTAGCTGCTGCAGTGCCATGTTTTCAGCTTTAACCTGAGAACAGTGCTGATAACACTGATGTTTTTAGTTCTTGTTAAGTAAGGTTCGCTCCAATTAAGGACTTTTTCAGTCTCATGCTCTGCCAGTGAGGAAAGCCATAGGAAGCTGGGAGGGAGCAGGGGCAGGACAACCTGACCCAAGCTAGCCAAAGGGGTATTCCATACCACAGCACATCATGCCAAGCATAACCACATCAGTTCTGTCCAAATGGTATATTCACTGAAGTCTCTTCTGAAGGCATGTCATGTGTTGAGTAATTTGACTTTTCCCCTTTTTCCCCTCCCTAATGTGAATAACTTTCAGTAAAGCTAGGACTGCTTGAATACATAGGAGTGGAAAAGTTCTGTTAACAGCTTTTTAGTATATAGCTGGGGCTTTTTGTTGTTTAGTTTTATTTTCTGTTTGTTGTTTTGGTTTTTAATCTTTCTGGCCACTTCATCTTTGACTCTTCCATTTGGATTCTCTGGTAAACTTAATGAGGGTTAGATTCTTAAACATGGGATTTTTAATCACCCATGTAGTAGTGCTGTGTTCTTTCCAGGAAAATAGTCACATGACTCCCGTTACGGTTTGTCTGATGCTGCATTAGAAAATCTGATGCATTTTTTTACTGCAGTTCAGTTGAGCTGACCAGTGCTTCCCTGATATTGGCATAGTAATCTTTTAATAGTAAATTTGCCCAGTGATTTAAATACTACACTAACTTGTTCCTGTATATGACTACAGAAAAGCCTTACAATTCAGTTTTATAGAGGGTAGTATGAACTCTTCATTGCCTGTTTCAAGACTTTACTACCTTTTAGAGCCTGAAATTTAGCAGGAAGATGGTGATTCTCTGTAGTTTAAGATGCTGTTAATTTTAAAGAAGTTGTGGATTAATTGCTGGTTCTGTTGTGCCTAAAGACCAAGTATATGAGTAGAATTAGTAGACTGGAAGTATTTAAAGGGATGCATTAGTAGGGTTTCTTATTGTGAAAGAGTCTGTTGCTGTCAGTAAATTCTTTGACATGTCAGTTTGGTTTTGGTAGACTGAGTGCCTCTTCACCACATGGGCGCTACTGGAATGAAGTGTTGCTGCTTCTGTTTTATTTGAGTGGAGTTAGTTAAGGTACAAAATGCTCTGGGTCCATGCTCTGGCCCATTGGTGTGCTTGCCTTGCTCTGGTCTCATGTTACCTCTTCCTGGATTGGATCAGCCCACTTTTTCTTTTTCCTCTTTTTTTTCTTTAGATAAGAAAAAAAAAAGGCTTTTCATTTAACATTTCTAACATCACGTAGCCCTTCTGCAGCCTTAGTGTGTTGTAAGAGAGTCTGGATTGCAGTTGACTTCCAAAAGAATGGGGAAGAGTATTTGGAGGGAGGTGGGAGGTTGTTGTGGAAATTAACTTACTTACTCTTTCAATGGATCATACACTCTGGACACCTCCTAGAGTATCTGCAATTTCAGAGATGCTTTTTGTGACCTAACAGGCTTGGGAAGGACTTGCTGCCTATTTCTTTTCTTGATTGGACTATGGATTTAGAGACAACATCTGGGAGCAGGTGTGCAGTCTCCCAAGTGAATCTAACACCTGCCATCTCTAGGGCAAAGAGGATGAAAGTTAGATTTGTGGAAGTTGTAGGAAAACAGTAGGATTGTATCAAGAGGATGGGGAGAGTTCAGTGATAAGAGTAAGGAATTCTATTTGTAAGGAATTTGGCACTCTGCATTTTGTTACAGAAGTTTTTACTTCATAGAACTGAACAGAACATATATATCTGTATTTACAGGGTATTAGTATTTTTCAAAAGTTGTTATACGCCTTCGTCATATCTATTACAGGGTTCTTGGTCAAGTACCTTGTAATTTCTGCCACCATTACAAGTAGATCAAGAACTGTTCATGAGCTAGATTTCCCAGAAAAAGGTATTGAAAAGATCCAAGCTTGCAACTTGGCTCACTGCAGCACAAAGCAGCAAAATGTAGAGACCATTCATAATATGAATATAAATTCATAACATATGAATGAAATCCAGGAGTATGTGTGAGTCATATCCTCAACTCACTCAAGATGAGCAAAAAGGTTAACTGTTTTGCCTCATCCTCAATCACCTATTGAAAATGACAATGCTACTCATATTAATGACGACAATCCCCCTTCTTATTGTTAAAGGGGGATGTAATACTAAAATATATAACCTTATGTCTGTACATAGCCTCACTACTTGGTCAACTTTCCTTGAATTAACTATGCAAGTTCTCTGGGCACAAGCATTTCATTCTTCCCCCTTGAAGAAAAACTGTTGCTCATACTTTTACCACTCATGCAGACTTGATCCACAAGATCTTGATCCACATCTCTAATGCCTTGTGTAAAGTTACTTTGGACGTAGTGTTTGTGCCTGGAGGAGGGAAGTTTTTTCCCTCACACTTAAAGAACTGATCCATATTTCAAGCATAATTTGCTTCTAGCTTTATCCAAGAAAAGATTTTTTTTGCTTATTCCAAACACTGGCGGTCACCATCCAGTTTTAAAAACCCAAAAGATAAGAATAACGGTCGATATTTTATAAATGTTCATGCTAGCTGTCCATGCTGAAGGATTGTTTTATTAACAATTTTCTTGTATTTCATTTATTATGACCATCTCCATTATTTTACAAAGGGTCTTGTAAAACATGGGTATTGTCACTTCATAAGGAGTTTGTGAATGTTTTGCCTTGGGAAGCGCTCAGGATACTTAGGAGTATTTCCAAAATGCAGTGGTCAGGTTTTTTGCAGGCTGCTTTCTGGTGTAAACAAATACTTTCTGCTCAGAAATATAGGCTGTTGCCATTTCATGAGCTGTAGTACCCGTACGAGGATATTTTCTGAAACATTTGCTGTAGGTCTGCATACAGGGAGAAACAGTTTTTTATTGTAGATTTCTTTGTTCAACAGGAATATAAATATGAATTACTATCAACAGCTATTTCTTGGAGAGGTATGAGAGAAGGGTCAGGATTTTTTTTACTTTTCATTCATATTCCTTCTTCTGTTCTGTTCCCCAAGTAACAGCGCAATGTTTGGCTGTTTTTTCAGGGAGGACGGAAGTAACTGGAGAGCAGTAGCCCTTTTAGCAGAAGAGCTACTTCAAAATACACTTGAAATTGTGGCCAAGAACTTGAATTTATAACGTAGTTTGCATTTATGTATCTGCAAGCCCTACTGAAAATACATTTCAGGTACTTGCAGGTTTCTGTTCTTTCAGTAAGTAGTGTTTTGGGAACGTGAGTTTGTGTGTGGGGAGTTAAAAAAACCTGAAAGGGAAGTCAAGAGTCTAGAATTTATTTTGCCCAGAGCTTAGAATTGCCTATTGCTGATCACATATAAGATAGTGGTTTAAGACAGATGATGTGGCTCTTTTTAGCCAAGTTTTCAGTGGGATTAAGGAATCTGTAAATTGAACCATATTAGAAAGGATTATTATATATTGTTAATAGCTGTTGCAAACATACAATCTGTAAGATACTTTTCAGAACATGGTAGCATAAATAGTACCTATTATCAATACAGTTACCAACCATGGGGTGGTTTGGGTTTTTTTTTTGGGGCGGGGGGGAGAAGGGTCCAAAAATGTAATAATTCGTAATAATTATTTATGAGGTGAAGACGTCAAGCATAAAGACTAATGTGTGTTCCTATTTGGTCATGTTATAATTCACTCCAAATGACTGAAAGTTGACTTCAATAAACATATTTTTAAATGCAAAAGTAGACATCTGTTCTGGGGTATGGCTGAAGCACTGGCAAGAATGATAGATGTGCGGAGAGAGAGAATTAGGTAAACTACAGGCATTGCCTTTATTCCCTCTGTTGCTGTTTCCTCAGCACCTCCAAATACATTATTTGTTCCCCATCCCACAGTAAGAGAGTAGCTTCAATTTATTCCCCCTTCTTTTGCTGTATCTTGATTTAACCAGCTCTCTTTTAGTCTTTGGTTTTGTGGAGGGTTTTTGGTTGGTTGGTTGGTTTGGTTTTGGTTGGTTTGGATTTTTTTAGGTGAGAATTTGATGCCTGAAAATGGTTCTTCAGCTCATTAAA